ATAATATTACTATATACTGTTATTATGTATGTATTGGCTCATACGTATATTTATCGTCATCGTCCTGTATACAGATGAATCGATCATGGAGTGTATGTAGTGTAGTTGTAGCTGAAGTGTTATGCTAATCTAGAAGTGAATTTTAAGAGCTAGCTAAGAAATGAAATTGGAACTATTATATCGACCCCCTAATTTCTAATAGTAAACCTATTGTAAATGTTATAAAATTCGGTATTTCTAATTCTAATCTAATTTTATCATGTTTGCCACCGAGCATTAGCTCAAAGCGAACTTTAATAAATCTATCTATCTATCTATCTATCTATCTATTAAATATTTTAAATTTGTGAAAAAGTTTAACACAAGAAGTTAAATTTTACATTTTGATTTTGAGAGTGTCAAAGGTGGAATAACTTCAATTTAATCTCATGCAAGATGAAAGATAATTGCGTTCGATATTAATAGTCATTTCTTACCTCTTGTAAATGAAGAAAGTTCTTTTGTGCTTTTAGACGACGTAGGTGGAGTAAAAGCTATTTATAACCACAATATTACTCTAGATACTTAGATACCACTTGTCACGACATATAGCTTGAGAGACAAATTTCAAGGGAGGTATTGACGCTATTTGACGAAATGTTTGACATTATTTGCATTCCTAGTTATCATTACCTAAATATTGTAGAAAAGTGTACGAAAACAAACACACGAAACGCAAGTCATTCCTTTACTGATATAATACATAACTCCCTGCGCGATTTTCTTCTTATATTACGTGTCAGTGGTTGTCAAACGTAATGCAAAACCAATGGACTTCGTTTTCTAAGATCAACATTCTCGCAAAGCCCTTTAAAAGATGAATCCACGTGTGCAATCACCTGAATGGTCAATAAGCTGTAGCAATAAAAAATCACAAGTGTTATTAAAGTTTAACTGCGTAAGAGTTGTTTATGAGTGAGAAATACCGCATGTCATATTACGCTCACTTTAGAATGCATGAACAGAAGTGAAAGGAGAAATAAAATACCTAATGAAAACGCAATAGAAGGTTAAAACGTCTGTTTATAAAATGTGCATGATTCGGCTTCATGAAGTGATCTAAACCACTTGAGAATATCACTTCATTAATACAATTCAAGACAAATATACTGGGAAATAAATAGGTGTGAATTTTGTTCCATTTTCTGCCATGGTTTTCAAATCTTGAAATTATTTTGAACAGATGCGTTCATTCCACTCCACGGTAGATATAAATAATACAAATGTTCTAGTATTCATTCACCACTGTTGTTACTGAGTATGCCTCACACATAAAAGGTACAGTAAATCAAACTTCTATAACCAAATTAAGTATACACCGCAGCTATATTTAGTAATTTTAGATGTAATTTCAGTTGTAATATTGTCAGAAGTGTCAATGAACAGCGCATGTGCACAAGTTTCCAAGGAGAGAAAGCGCCATTACCGCAATATTCACTATGAACCACCACCACCACTCACCCTTTGTTGCATAAACCTATTTAAAGATTCGTTAAACGCTAATGGTGCTGTAAGTGCTGTCTTAACGGAAAAAAGCGTTGTCGGACATGTAAACTGTTAACCATTCGTTTACCTAAGCTCTGCTATAATATAGCCTACGTTGTTACGAAAAAGTTATTTTCCTATTTATATTGAGGTTATGTGAACAGCACGTAAACAGCCCTAAAGATAATATTTCTCAATTGCTCCAGCGTACGCGGTTTTCTTGTATTAAATCTGTGGCATACTGTTTCCTAGCACTCGTTTTCTTCTGCTTGATGATTCTATTTTCAGTTGTATTTGAATACGTGCAGATAATATCCAAAAGAAATAGTTTTTTTCTCGTGTCTAAAAATTTCTTTCTTCATTTTTTTCGCAATTACGAAGTTTGTCTCCAACCTACGCAGTACATAGGACATACGACACTCGGACACCACGGACGAGAACGTTTGAAGGAAGTTTGTAGTCAAAGACAGTCGTGTGGACGGTGTAAGAAGCTTTGGAATTCGTCAAAGAATTTCTACGAACCTTGAAAACTATAGTACATTTTATGTATTTCTTTTGATAGAAGTACTAGTAAAAGGGTTATTAAATACCACTCTTGCAACGACCTACTCATTAAAGGACCAAGTAGTTTTAAAAATCCGCTAACGAAGGAATAAAATGTTACAGGACACTTTTTTTGCAACCCGCCCTCAATCTTGCAGAACATGGAGGGATTATGGCAATTCCGTTTCAGATAATGGAGATTTCCGACACGGTTCATTAGGCATTATAACTAAAAATTTGGAAATTTCTTACAATGTTTATTTGATAAAAACGAGCAACGAGTTGGTATTAAGTTCGAGCATTTTCTTTTTTATTTTGTTGAGTTTTTGTTGACATAACGCGTTTTTAAACCAGTTTTCGGTCGTTCAGCGCCTGCATCAGAGTAATTTTAGAATTACATCCGTTACTTTCATTGTCAAGTCTCGTTACGTCGCAGTCAGTTAGTACCTTTTATCTCTTTGGTCAGGGGCTCGATGCCGCTAGATCCTTGGATCAGACGGTCACCCATCCAGGAACCCGCGAGGACTCGAATTCACTTAACCTCCGAGACTCCACGGACCGTCACAAAAAGAATTCTGCAAGCAGTGCCGGCAAAGATTACGTGAACTGGCAATTAGAGAAATGTAATAATAATAATAATAATAATAATAATAATAATAATAATAATAATAATAATAATAATAATAAGATATTTACATTCCCAACATAACAGAAAAACTTTAAGTGTCAATGTATTTCTAAATATAATTCTCTAATTATTAGTTTCTTGATGATTTAGTGCCCGTTTTCAAACAATTTCATTTGTGTTTACTTTTAGAGTGTCTTCAATGCATTGCCCACCTACGAATTGCTCTCTAAAACCGACTCAACGATTGCCATGGTACATCTGTTATGCAGTGAGAAAGCCTACTTTAACAAGATATGCGCAGTGGCGTTCTCTTGGGTCGTGGGAAATTTGGACCTCAATAATTCGGTAAGGATAAGCTCCAATTGTGTTGAACAAGTTCTTTAATAAAATTAAAACGAAATAAAACAGTGTAATGACTTCACGAATTACTTTATTTAAAAAAATTAAAAAGTATCAATACTGGCAAATACTTTGAAACGATGTTTAAGTATTTTGCCAGTTGCTCTGGACGCAGTGCCCGCGAACTCCAGAAAGCTAGTTATCTTTCCTGCAACAAAAGTTCCTAAACAGACAAATAAAACTTCAAAAGGTTTCTTTATAACTCGTGCACATAAATCAAAAGTCTTAAATAGTTTATGAGAATAAAAGTTCACTGCCCTAAGCATCGGATGATTCGTAATAAAAATAGACCACTTATAAAAAATATATTCCTCTTGCTTAAGCAACCATCCCCCGAAAGATCAGTTTTCATGCAACCAACTGTGGTTGCTTAATACAAATTTCACTATACGCTGAAACCCTTCATGCTGTGCCGAAACTCTTCACCGTGAGAGTTTGTTCGCGTTCGGGAACTCTGCTTGAACTCGTTTGCACGCTCCTAGAAACGAGAAATCGTGCCTACTTAGCTCCAGGTGATACGGTTTGCCGCAAAACATTTTTTTAAATCACGTTACAAAACATAGTGTAGCAGGTTAAACTCCAAATTATTTAAAAATCATGGATAAGTACAGTAAAATCCGAAGTAGCGATTATCTCTAACACCATTCCAAATTTCTCTCGAGAGTATCAACTACCACTCCACATAGGGAAATGAATGCAGGTGGAAACGAGCTGGATCGCTTGCGAGCAAGGCCGGCGGAACAGGTGGGTAAAATGAGTAGTATGACCCACGCGAAAAAAAATCCAGGTGGTTTATTATCCACCTGAAATTTTGACAAACATTTTAAAAAACATTCCGATTTAACATAATTATTACCACCTTGAACAAACTGGTGGAAAAAATTATATTCAAAATTCAAAAACATCATTCAATATTCAAACTTGGCGCGATGCGTAGTTGTGCCCTCGCTCAGTATGTTTCTGGCGAGCTGGCTGCGTCCCAAGAAACCGATAATAGACAGATTTTTTGTTCGAGGGTTGCTAGGTAAGCGAGTTGCTGGCAAGTACAAAACAGACAGTAACATACTATTAATGTGTTTGTATAAATCCATTAAACGTTTGTTTTAAACTAAATATTTTATTTTACCGTTATCCTGTTATTCTTTATGAAAACTTAAATTCAATAAAAAAAAGTGCAATACCCCCACCCGTGGTACTTCCCTCTGTGCTTGCAGACGCACCTGTGCCTGCTGTTCTCGCGCACCGGCAGCAGCACTTCCGCACTCGTCCTCCTGCACTTCGCGCAGACCATTGAGACAGGTACGCAAAGTGGACAGGTCGCAGCGTTTAGGTATGGAAATTTTATTAATCAACCCTGTTTGTTTTCGTTCTTTCAAGAACACATTGTGTGTATATATATATATATATATATATATATATATATATATATATATATATATATAAAAGTATACAGGATGCTAGATACAACCTGTTCGAATCCGCATTTTTTGAAGGCTGATGAAACCCTTAGTATATTATTCCGGTCTGAGGTCGCTAAGGCTGAAGAGCCCTTGCTACTCAGCTCAAAGAGAAGCGGATTTCAAGCGCGCCTCAAGCATGGATGTTTGAATGTGTGTGTGTTGTGTTTTCTACACGTGTTCCTCCTACAGTTAAAGTAATGACAGTGGTCGCTACGTGACCAAGTTCTTAAAAAGCGGTCTAAAAATTTATTTTAGCTCTACAGTATTACTATTAGCCAATTGATAATATGGTTATTGATCTAGAAGAAGTATCATTGGGTTAGAATCCTTTTGTGCCCTCTATTCGTGCCGGGAGAATAGTTGCGTGTTTCACCGGCATCGCGAAGTGTTTAGCCGTTGAGCTGGCGAGTGAAAGGAGGGCATGTCCAATCGGAGGTCGCTTGCAGGGGAGTTCCGGCAGATGGACCACGGCGCGAAGGAGAACCTCCGGCGCTACGGGTCTCTGCGGCCGCCCGCCTACCCGCTGGCCAACGTGACGGCGCCCGTGCTGATCTTCGCTACTGCCGGCGATGCCATCGTCACACTTGAGGTCGGTGCTACCCACCAACTCTCCCCCCTCCTCCTCCTCCTCCGACTCCTTTCCTTCTACTTTACTTCTCCTCTCTGTCCTGTTCCTTCAAGTCCTCAACCAGTTCCTCCTTTTCATCTTCCCCACCCTTCAACTCCTCTTCCCCGCCCTTCAAGTCTTCAGCTTTATTCATCTTCTTCTCCTCCTTCCCCTCCTCTTCCTCCTTCTTCTTCCTTCTTCCCTTCCTCTTGCTGCCGCCTCTTCCACATTTTCATCCAGATGTTTCTTCTTCTTCATTTCTCCTGTCTATTCTTCTCTAGATCCTTTGTAGTGTGCTTACCCAATAGCACTCTTTAGAATTATGCAAATTATGGTATTTAACTTTGAAACAAAACAAAAGATAAAATAGTTTTTAATGGTTTGCAAAAAATAGTAAAAAACAATACGAAAAATATTTCATATCGAACAATTACATTTAAGCTTGTGCTAACTAAATATCAAAACTTATTCCACTATAAATTGTTAACATAAGTAGATATTTCATTCATATTTTATTATTTACTTGATTTACTTGACTCTTAAATTAGATTTGTGTTTACTCTTTAGAATGAACAGTGTAGTATTATTTGATTCTCTCCCTTATCCTACTATTTATTTCCGATTTTTGCCTCCCACTACGTATTCCTTTTAGATCCATATTTAGCTTAAGCGCTCGACGATGGATTCACTTCTTCCAATTCCGTTCAAATATTTCTTTTCTGAAGATGACGAATTTTTTGCCCAGGCTGTGGACCGTCTTGTCAAGATCCTTCCGAACGTCGTGGAAACGAAGGTGATCCGAGAGAAGTTCTTCAACCACATGGACTTCGCGTACCACCAGCGACTCAACGAGCTCGTCACGGAGCCCGCTCTGGAGGTGATGGCGCGGTTTTAGAGCAACACGCGCTGCCCCGACCGCCAGCGACAACGGAGAGGCAGCTCCGAGTTGAAACGAGGCCTCTCAGCATTTCCGGTTGGCCTTTCATGGACGGAGACCTGCTCGCTGGGTTGCTTAGCAACCACTATTCCGATCGAGAGTCATGTCATCAGAGTCACGTGACTCTGCGTGTCTTTGACAGTTAAACTTCGCGATACTCAAATTGTTCTTTATTCAGTGTAAATATACCTAGTTTTTAATTTACTTTTGAATAGTAATTGAAAACATATTTATGGGCGATCCTTCATACGTTCTTTACCTCTATTGAGTGGAGAGAGGAATCATTGTTAGACGATTCAAGGGAAATTAATGGCAAAAGCTAGTTTTTGAAAAGTGATATTAAGATACTCTACCTTTTCAATCCAATATTGCACCATTTAAATAGGGTAACCCAACTTAAGTAACAGTATTATACAATCCAAGTTAAGATATATTGAATATGTATTTCAGGTGTATTGTGATTCACTATATTGTAAATATGATATACTTCAAATAAATAATAGAATAGACTGAATTAGAGAGTCTTCAATCTTATAATTCTATATTACCCATACTTCTACTTCATACAATATTTAAGAGACTATGGAAGATCAGCTACTATACTGGTGACTGGACATATTTTTCTCTTCGAAATAGATGGTTTCATTGTATGTTTCTTCAATGTTTTTCACGAAAGTGTCGACCATCCTGAGGCCCGCTTTGGGGGGATTTGTCTTAGATGCAGCATGTTCGGACAGACTTGATCACATGATCTCATAGGAGATACTGTTGTGCTTACAATTAAAGTATGGCACATCAGCAATTCCATTTGTTACGGACGTTACACTTTGTCATATTGTTATTCTTATATCTTTCAAGGAGAATTGCGGTTTTATTCCAACAAAATGCAGTGATATTATAAAAATATTACTTCAATTTCTATTATTTTCTTTCGTTAATTTCAAAAATATAAAAAGTGTAATAGTGTTACAAACGTTACAAAATTTGAAAAATTTTAAAATGTCTGTTGAGTTATTTAAGAAAAATTCATATCTCCTATTCTATCAAATTAAATTAAATAATTTGAGGTTTTTTGATAATTTGATGTATGTTTCAAGAAGTTGGTGTTCACATATTATTTTGGAGATAATAATGAATATTTTTAAGATTAATATTGTAACGAACATTGCATCCTAATTTGTTACTGATCTTACATATAAATACTCAAAGCAACAATCACATAAATTTCTCTTTCACATCAAATCCCTCAGAATTTTGAAAGTTCCTACTCTAAAGTATTTCTTTAACTGATTCACATCTCATGTTTAGAAAGAACTAGAACTGAAAGAACTAATTATAGACAACATTTATTTGAAGGAAAAACCTTTATCATCAATTTTGTGTAGAAACACGTGGAAAAAGTTCAAAGTTTTGCCATTTCTTAAAGTTTAGTTTTAACCCTGAAAATAGGACTTATGCCATCTTTATAGGTACATTTACTCTATTCTTACAAGAAATTCAAAGAAAAATTCCCAGCCATTTGTGAGAAATTCTTGAAAACGTCCGGGGGCTTCATGAAAAGTACCACAAAGTTTGAAGAACTTTTTTTCAAAATCGCGGCGCTTCGAGCGGAGCCAAATCGACCGGAGAATATCCGTTTTGGAAAAAATCGTACGTGTTGTTTAGGCGCTAGTGGTGTTCACAGAGATGAACTGATGCTTTGCTGTCAATTGGTTTTTCGGTTTCAAGGACCCACAAAATAGAGATTGTGACTACACAACGTGTTGAAGGATTTTTTCTTAATTTAGCAACTGGATGTATCCACTTTTTTGTTATCAGGGCCTGACAATGATTTTTTTCTGCCGAAAATCCGCTGTTTCTTCTCACAGCAAAACACAGCTTTCCCTATATTACGTGTATTACTCCATATATACGTATGAATATGGGAAATACTGTGAACACTAATAGCCATATTGATACCATAGAGGGGCGGATGGACAGACGGACCTTTTCAAAAATATACTTCTTGGGTATCAAGGATTCCCAAAACTTTTATTTTCCGTAAAATCGATTATTTTTCAGGGTTGCAATAATTCCTCTATATTACCCAGAGGAGAAAGTAAAATTATACGTTCTTGTAAATCTCCACTCCTCTTCCATTCTGTCATTACGACGCACTATAAAATGCTTTAGAGTCTCTGTAGCTGCAGTCTGCAGATGGCTGCTGAGAGATGTGGCGAGATGTGGCGTTGTGGCTGGTTGTCGCAGCCGTTCACTCGAAAGTGGAAACGTCACCGGAAAGCCTTCCGGTGGTCTGGCTGTCCACCTTGGACCACCTACGACCTGCTGGCGAGGTCGTGCGTCACGTGAAAGCCAAGGCACCGGAGTTGTTTGTGGGCTTGGTGAGTAGTTGTTTCACCCTAACGATGTACAGAATTCACAATTCGCAATGTAAAGAAAATTGTGCAAAGGGTAGCAGGTAGTAGACACAATTAATATGATGAAATTGATGCAACATTTGTTTACGTCCCACTGAAATTAACATTTTAGAAACTTCTATGTACAGAAATTCGGCATTTGCCGGACATTTATTCGTCAGCGGAAAAGCAGCTCGTTTCTGCTACCCATAATTTGCGTAAATAACTAACAACCGTAACTGCAATAAAGGTTGGGATACTTAGCGTTGCGTGGTTTTTACGTGAAGTGATGAGTCAACCCTTAAACACCTTTGAGTTTACACAGTGCTGACGTTTGAAATGTACTTGTTAATTTCTAAGAAATACTTAAAAGGCGCCTGGCGGCTTATCTTCTTGATCAGCGTGCTCGCTTTCCATGACATAGCCCTGGTTGCGATACCGGTCAGGCATGATTATAACATTCGTTTTCCTGGCAATATTCCAGTATTTGTGCAATATTCCACACTGAGGCGATTAGTTTTGCCGTTAGCGCAAGCAGACTTCTGGCAAATTCTACACATACATCTGGTAAAAATAAACATTTCGAGTCGTAATCTCCACAATATTGATTCTCAATCGCCCAAAAGTTTGAATATCTTAACAAAAAAACGCTCAAATGTACAAATAGATCACACATATTTTATATATAATCACATGACATGTTGCATGACTCAACACGAAACAAGACGACAGAGTACTTCACACATGGCATGGCTAGACATGACATTATATCACATATAAAATAACAAAATAATACGATACTAGCGTACCGGTGCGAGAACTCTCGCAAGTTAAATTCCACCCTCTTCCTTTGACATGTTAAGAGAGGAAGGTCTTAACGAAACGAGTTTATTTGTTTGAAATATGTAGTTGGCAACTTCCAATGTGCTTATAGAATTTAAAATAACGTAAAGAATATTTAAACTGACGTTTGAAGCAAATGTTGAATAAATGTTTATTTAGTGTGATAGACATGTTCTTGAAACAATTCACAACACTTTCTTAAAAACAGCATGTAAAGTAATTATACAATCTTCCTTTCTCAGTCATCTTTTCGCTTTCCTTGACAGTCACAAAAGTAATGCAAAAGCATTTTACTCACGAGAAAGCTACTAATTTCCAAACAGAGATATACCCGTGCAATTTATCGCCTAGAATATATATATATATATATATATATATATATATATATATATATATATATATATATAGCCTAGAATCACCTAAAATAATTAGTTTCATGTCACATAGTTGCAGATTCTAAATGTTACTGATTCAGCACATTCTGTAGATACTGTAGATTACATCACAATTTTTTCACATAGAAACAAGAATGTCAATACTTACATTCTATAAATGAACTGTGGCACAATACGCATAAAAAGTAATCTTCATCGACATCAAACAACTATTAATACTTCTAACTATTCTTGCAATAACTTATTATCATGCATTAATGATTATGCAAATAAACCTCATCAACGGGAGGAAACCACGGTGTTCACAGGTAGAATGCATATATGTAGGTTGGAAAAATCTAAGCCTTCTAAACGCGACATGGCAAACACAGAGCGCCCCTGCGCAGAGTAATATATTTGGTGTTGGATAATATCAATTAACGCCGGACCATCAAAAATGCAATAGATTTGTAAGTTTTAAGACTCTAAAACGTTTTCTTTAGGAGTTATTTAACTATATTATGACAATGCTATCGACCGTTGCGGGTTACATTTGAAATGAAAATTTAGATGCGTCTTTTCAATCATTTCCTCACATTTTTAAAGTCAAAATCAATTCATCATGTCTGCTTGAAATTCTTTTCCTGAAAATGTTTCTTCTTGTTCATTTCTCCTGTATTTTCTTCTTTAGAATCCTTTGTAGTTTGCTTACCCAATATCATTCTTTAGAATTATACAAAGTATGGTATTTAATTATTGTAATTGGATTGTTGGTGAAGTACATACCTTTTTTATTTTGATAAATAAATAGAGATATTGTCAGGTATCAATATTTTAATTCAACTAATGATCATTTCGATCGCTTTCGATTTGCTTACGCATCTTGTATACAATAACCAACCTGTTAATATTTCACATTGTATATTTGTATTGTTTTTAGCTCTGAGGATGATCGCTACGCGATCGAAATGATCATTAGTTGAATTAAAATATTGATACCTGACAATATCTCTATTTATTTATATGGTATTTAACTTTGAAAGAAAGCAATAGTAAAAAAAGAAAATGTTTCGTGTAGAACAATTACATTTACGTTTGTGCTAACTAAATAACAATAATAACTAAATATCGACCTCGCACATATGTCGGTTGCCTGTGAGAGGCAAAAAGTATACGTACTTCTCAAATAATGCAGGAGACAGTGACCCTAAGCGTCTGAACTTGACGCGTCTGTCACGACGCGACCCACCGTCCACGGCACCAGGACAACGAATCCTCCCCTAATCTTCCCAATAACTCGATCACGAAGAACTTCCGATGTCAACAGCGGCTCTGCTTCGCCCCA